CTTTTTGCCAGCTTCTCATTCAAACAAAGCTCTGAAAATTTGTGGTTTAGGTCACTGACGAAGAAAATATTGGTCAGACAGACACGTGTACAAAGGTTTTTGAAGTTAAAATCGGATGAAATCCATAAATATGAGCTGATTCAATGTGATCTGTAAGGCTTCTTAAAGATTATATTCTTCTAAGAAGATTACCCTGTAAAACCAAACTGTCATGACTTGAAACCATTTTCAAATCTTTGTTCATGTAGGTGGCAATTTTATGTCAGTTCCTCAGAGAAATTGACTACAAAACAGCGTTTAAATCTCTGCAAGAACAAAACAGGTATGAATACTTTTTAAAAAAAAATAATGAGGTCAACATTTTCCTGCTTAAGAAGTAACTGAATTCTGTCTTTCAGTCATGATGCTATGGATTCCTACTATGACTACATATGGGATGTTACCATTTTGGAATACTTGACTTGTATCCTTTCATCAGTGTGTGATGTTAGAATGATCCATTTTTGTAAATTAAAGGAGTATTTAATATTGTATGTTTTTCAAATCAAAACTGAAAATGAGTTTAGATTCTCTCGTATTTAACACTATCAGATTTTTCTTAACTGATTCATTAGATCTTCATCATAAAAGAGGAGAAACAGATAAAAGACAAATTGCAGTAAGTTACCTTATGCCTTTCTTCAGTGATATAGTTTCCAGAATATTAAACAATTGTTAAGATGTGAACCAACGAAAGATAGTGTGCCTAGTTACTGCCAGAATTTGATTATCAGTGTTTACTTTATAAAGATCCTTCAATAATTTTAGCTGTTCCATCTCATTATACATTATTTTAAAGTGTTACATTATGTCATTTCTTAGTTCCAATGGCTTCCAATGGCTTCTTATCTCACACAGTTAAAAGTCTTCCAATATACAATTTGACCTCTAGCTTACCCACCTAACTTTCCTCCTTGCTAATTTCTCCTATACCAGTACCCCTACTGTTGTTTGAACAAGCCAAGAACATTCACCACCTACGAAGGGCCTTTGAAATTTTCTCTTCCAAGAACATCCAAATTCCCTCAGATCTCTTCTCAATTAATCATCCTTTCCTGATCATCTTATAAAGTAACAATTTCTGCTTCCTTTTTCCCTCCAGCACTCTTATTATTTCTTTTTCCATTTTTCTCTGGGACACTTACCAACATCTGACATGCTGTGTATTTATTTATTAGCTATTTCCCCACGAGAGTAAGGACTTGTTTTGTCATAGTTGGTACTTAGAATGGTGCTTGGCACGTATTAGGTGCTCCAGAATCACTGATTAGATGAATTCTTTTTTTTTTGAGACAGTCTTGCTCTGTCACCAGGTGCCAGGCTGGAGTGCAGTGGTGCGATCTCAGCTCACTGCAACCTCTGCCTCCCGGGTTCAGGCAATTCTCCTGCCTCAGTCTCCCGGGTAGCTGAGACTACAGGTGCACACCACCACACCCAGCTAATTTTTTTTGTATTTTTAGTAGAGATGGGGTTTCACTGTGTTGGCCAGGATGGTCTTGATCTCTTGACCTTGTGAGCCATCGCACCCGGCCTAGATGAATTCTTTATCTAAATTTGATGTATGGGCCAAAACATTTTAAATTGTATGGCCATATTTACTTGTCTAACATTTACTGCAGCAGTATCACCACAGGTATTTTCTTTGCTCTTTCACTTATATTAATAAATGCTCTTTATTAAGTCTTTTAAACTTTGTACTTGGACTAAAGTGTATGCCCATTGTTGAGAAGAAACAATAACAGCACTTAAAAGGAAAAAAAACATGAATGCCAGTTCCACTTGATTGGAGGCTATTCATTCTCCTTTTTCTAATTTACCCAGGGCTGGAAGGTCAATACTGAAAAATTTTCCTAGCTCCCCTTTGCTATTTCCAAACCACTTCTACTTGCATGATTTTTGAGACCCTTATTCTTTGAAGCATATACCTTCCTCACTAGCTCATGTAAGCATCTGGTTGTTCCTCTACATGTGTCAAAAGATGTGATGAATTTACCTGTCACCCTGAGCTTTACAAGTCCTTGCCAGCTTCAGCTCTGTGGAGTGTCATCTTTACTCTGTACCAGCCACTCACACCCAAAGCCATGTCTTATTGTCAGGCACAACTGTTCTGCGTATGATCTTATACTGCAACCCCACTCTCCGCCCATAACCTATCCTCCTACTTCCTGGCTCTCAAGGCCTTTACGCTCTGAGATGTTCAGGTTTGTGACTTTGTTCCCCTTCATTCCCTTCCATCTTCCCATCTCTACTCGAGTATGGCAAATACCATTCTGCACACTGAGAGATACTGATTCAGTTGGCCCAAAGTGGACCCTGGTATCCAATTTTTAAGTTTCCCAGGTAGTGTGAAGATAAACCAGGCTTGGGAACCCCTGCTATGATAGAACTACTCTTGATCAGTATTTTTAGCATCTTTACTTTATCCTTTACCTCACCTGGGAAAGCCCTAGCCCTGCATAAGTTCAAGTAATTTATGTGTTTTACTTTCTTGGGTCACTGAGACTATTGGAAAAAGTCCTACAACTAGGCCAGCAGTACATACTGGTGCTATTGCCAAACCAGTCTCCAACCTTGGTTGGCCCCTCAGCTTTTTTGTTTTACCTGCCACTAGTCGGCGGTCCACATTCTCTTTGGGGACTCTTGGACTTTCCTGTTAAGCCCCTGTCCTCTTTTCTATTCTCAGTAACTTCTTTTCCTCTTCTGTGCTTGTGATACACCAGTGAAGACTGACCAGGCCCTGTCTTCATGGATGTTACAGACTTAGGATGGTGACCTTGTGAGAGCTGGCTTCAGATTCCTATTTCATTCTCTGCTTTGTGCTTTTAAAATAACCCACAGCTGTACTCATTGTTAAGCCCACTATGTAGCAGTAAAAGAGGCTAAAGGCAAATTTTTATGCTTTGAATTCTCTCCCCTCAGTAACCTTTTAATGAGTGATTTCCTGTATTGTCAGCCTCTCCCATGGCCTATAAAAGATTTCATCCTACTACAGGTTTGTGCTGTCTGTGCCCTCTAGCCCTCTCATCCCTCTCTGCCTACCTTATGAAGCTCTTCAACCCAACAATTTGACTTCTGCCACCACTGCTCTTAACTTTTCTCTCAAGAGCCACCAAATGCCAGATCCAGTGGATACTTTTCAGTTGTTTTTCTGATTACATCTCCTTCCTTCTGGAAATTTATTCTTCTGGCTTCTCTGATCCCTATTTTAATCCACTCTTGGTTTTGATTACTGTCTACATGGAGTGTATTACTTCTCTCAAATATCTGGCTCCTATTCCATCTTGTTTCACTTTGGATTTTTATAGCCAGTTGTCTTTGGGATACCTGGTTGGTTTGAAACAACCCTGGTTATACTCTACTACCAACTTTTGCCACATGCATTCCTTCATGTTGAAATAGCATCATCCAACGATTTCTCCTATTCCCTGACTTCCCATACCTGATGATCATACCTGAATAGTAATTTCTCTTTTCAAGCCATGTATCAGAAGTCTTGTTGTTTAAGGAAATGCTAGGCTAGGCATAATGGCTCACTCCTGTAATCTTAAAATTTTGGGAGGCTGAGGTGGGTGGATCACCTGAGGTCAGGAGTTCGAGAACAGCCTGGCCAACATGATGACCCTGTCTCTACTAAAAGTACAAAAATTAGCTGGGTGAGGTGGCAGGCATCTGTAATCCCAGCTACTCAGGAGGCCGAGGCAGGAGAATCACTAGAAGGTAGCGGTGAGCCAAGATTGCGCCATTGCACACCAGCCTGGTGATAAGAGCGATATTCCGTCCCCAAAAAATGTGTTTAAATCTATAGATTTTTAAGGTTCTAAACTATGTATATTTAAGTTGGTCGAGGCACTGTATTCCACTATAGTGCTGAGCAAGTAGTTATTTTTGCACATTAAGAAAGTGGAGCCTGGGCTAGATGCAGTGGCTCATGCCTGTAATCCTAGCACTTTGGGAGGCCAAGGCAGGTGGGTCACCTGAGGTCGGGAGTTCGCGAGTTCAAGACTAGCCTGACCAACGTGGAGAAACCCTGTCTCTACTAAAAATACAAAATTAGCCAGGTGTGGTGGGGCATGCCTGTAATCCCAGCTACTCAGGAGGCTGAGGCAGGAGAATCACTTGAACCCAGGAGACGGAGGTTGCGGTGAGCTGAGATTGTGCCATTGCACTCCAGCCTGGGCAATAAGAACAAAACTCCATCTCAAAAAGACAAAAAAAAAAAAAAAGTGGAACCGTAGTTTAATTCTAAAAATTACTATGTAGAGCTTACTTACTTTCAGTCAAATAAATTTACATGAATTAAGATAATTCCATAAACTATGGCCCAGTCCTTTCCTTCTGTGGCCCTAGTCAATCTTTTTTTCCAAGACTCTTGGGTTTTACAAGTAGAGGTTCAGTTAATCATTGAAAACCTTAGCGTTGTTAGCATGTAGGTAGCTTTATATTACTTGTACCAACAAAACTTAATTTTTGACAGACTTCTAATAACCTTACTTTTCTGTTTTGGAAGATAAAAGCCATCGGCCAGACAGAGTTGAATGCAAGCAATCCAGAAGAAGTGTTACAGCTGGCAGCGCAGAGAAGGAAAAAAAAGTTTCTCCAAGCAATGGCAAAACTTTACTTTTAAGCAGTTAATTTTGTTTAACTTTTATTTTTTAAACAATGGGCTAAAAATAAACAGTATTAAAAGGTTAAGTTTATATAATACATATGTACACATTTAGTGGTGTTTTCTTTTCAGACAAAATACTGAAATATTAGTTTAAAAACAAACTATACAGAAGACTTCATTAACAATAGCTTAAATTTATAATTTCTTCAAATGGAGAAGAGATTCACGTGTCAGATAAAATAAACTAGCTATCTAGTTTTCTAATTAAATCTATGAGGCTGGATTTTTGTAATAAAATGCTAATTTAAAATATGTAGAAGTAGCTAGCCTATGTACAGCAAGTTTTTGTGTCTTAATAAATATATTTCTAGGAGTCAGTATATATTTAAAACTCTTCTTCCTTAAGAAAATAGAAATTTAGGTCAAGTGTTAAGCTTTTATCACTTTGACACTGTCCTTATCTCACAATGTAGGAATTTAGAAAGGACCTTAACAGTTTTACAAACATAAATAAAGCCTTAGTCACTCTAAATTTAAAAAAAAAAAAACTATTTAGGGATATCTTAGAGTAATAAAGTGACTTCCTCATATAAATAGTTTGAAAGACTACTTAAGTTTTTCACCCAAATTGTGATATACAAAAAGGTTATTATCAAGCAACCTACATGTCAATAAAGCCCCACATAGGAAGGAGCCACAGCATTTATCTTGTTGATAATTTCTTTGGTACTCCCACTGTTTAGAGCACAAACTGAAGACCATGTTCATCTAAGCCTTATTAAAAAATGTGTTATGGCAAGGCAAATAAAGTAATTAAAAAACATTAAATTTCACCATTTGTAGAAATTCAAGTTTTATAATAGCTTGCTATAGCAGCTATAAATTAGTCACCTTATTACAAAACTAAATCTTTGTAAACAAGTTTAATTTTCAAGAACCAAATTGCACTAGTCAAGAGTGTAGGAATTTGAGAATCTAACAACTAGATTCAAAGTACTGTATCATTTAGTATACCCTTTAAGGTAGCACATTAAACTAAAACTCCAATGGTAAAATTTCTAGTTTATCAAGATAAACACAGTAACACTGGATCAAAGGAAAAACATTGCTATGGTATAAATGTGGCTGGCTTCTATCCAGTAAACCTTGGGAATGAAGTCACATCTTTGTAAACAAGTCCTGCTGTTTCTTTAACAATTAACATAGGAATTATAATTAAGTTTTAAAATCAAAGAATGGCAGTGTAACTTCTGAATTGGCTAGGACAATCACAGCACTATTTTCCTGTAAAACTTGAGTAGTTCATTGATACCAGTTTTACCCAATACTTGGTGAATTCCAACTTGTTTCCTTAGTTATCTTCTTTAGTGTTTTCCTGGTGGTTTTTCGGTGCTCTTCGGTGGTGTCATAATGCCTCCACTGCACACTGGTGACAGCTGTCCCCCTTTTCTGAAGGTGTTTATGTAATTTACTTCTTCCTATACATGGGAAGAAATCATGCACTGGTTTCATAAAACAAAGTCAAACCAGACTTCTGGGTACTTATTTGAGATTATTTAGGCCTAATTGTCTTTTTATGTCTTTGCAAGTGTGAATGGTTATATTCTGAATGTTTTTGTAATGCTATATACATTTTTTAACTTATGTAGACTGTTGGCATTGATGTTGAGACACTTAACAAATCTCACTTTGATTTCAAAGTAATTCTATTAACTTTTCCACATTTTATCATTTTGCCTTTGCCCATTAGAACTTTCTTTCCCGGCCGGGCGCAGTGGCTCACGCCTGTAATCCCAGCACTTTGGGAGGCCGAGGCGAGTGGATCACGAGGTCAAGAGATCAAGACCATCCTGGTCAACATGGTGAAACCCCGTCTCTACTAAAAATACAAAAAACCAGCTGGGCGTGGTGGCGCGTGCCTGTAATCCCAGCTACTCAGGAGGCTGAGGCAGGAGAATTGCCTGAACCCAGGAGGCGGAGGTTGCGGTGAGCCGAGATCGCGCCATTTCACTCCAGCCTGGGTAACAAGAGCGAAACTCCATCTCAAAAAAAAAAAAAAAACTTTCTTTCCCCTGACCATCGTATATAACTGCCTGAAGGAGTACTCTATTCCGACCATTGAGTGACTTAACTTACTAGATTCAAATAGCAAAGCCAAAAAACTCCAAAAAAAGAAAAGAAACATACCAGCATAGCCAGGTAACTTGTATGTGTCTGGATATTATGTCTGTCTTCCATAGGAATCTTCTTAAAAGTCTTCAGCTTCACTGGACTAGTACTTTTTACTACATTGACAAAAGGTACCATCCAATCTACACATTCTGAAATACTGTCCCACTCCAAACCTAATTAGAAAAAAGTTAGAAAAGCATGAAGGGTGTACATCAGAAACTATCTTGCATATGCCTAATCTACTTGCTGCTGTTTCTAAATTTTGAGATGTTTACTTTAAAAAGAAACCAAAACAAATTATAACAAGTTTAGCAAGTCAAAACATTATCACTCTCAAACTATATGACTGTGTTGAAGGGAAAAAGGACTTCAGAACTTCTTAACCAGTACCTTCTACATGAAACTGAAATGGTCAAATCCCAACCAACTCTTAAAGCAGAACTATAATGTTGATTTGTTCCAAATGTATTTAAATTCCATTTGGTCTTCTCATTTATAGATACATACTGAGTATTGGAAAGTACTTTCAACAGAAAGGAAGATTATCACTGAACAGCTAATTTTTTCTGCCAAAGTTTTAAATCCATGTGTAGCAGAATGTTAAAGTTCAGACTATAGTCCCATTAGAAGTTGTGAAAAAGTAAGACAACAAACAGTCTTACCTGAGGCTTTCTTAACCACTTCAATGGAGGTAAAATGGCACAAGGCAGCAGCAGTCAGTATTCTGTACTGGAACTCTAATGAATCAACGGCTAGAATACACAGATCTAAAAGCTAACAAAGGAAAAAAAGCACAAGCAATTTAGGAGAAGGATGAGTACTAAATGTCTCTTGCTGAAACTTGAGGGATCTAGAGATAAATAAGCCACCAACCTGAAGGAAGTAGACAAGGAAGGATTGCTGCAGTACAGTGTGACATGTACTAGCAGGAAGGGCACCTAATCCAGATTGGAAAAGATAGTGATGGCCTCAAGTTGCCATAAAAGAGTCTTATAAGGTAGCCAGGAAGATTGGGAGGCAGAGAATGTTCTAGGTATAGGAACATCACTTGGAACTCAGTTCACAGTAGTTCGGAACTCCTAAGATGAAAAATATGAAATAAGCAAGGAGCACCTTTCCTTCATTTCTGATCAAGGATAAGGGGTGGTGGCTAGAGCTATGGTCTAGATTGTATCACAAAGGGTCTTTAAGAAGTCAGAACTTCATAGGTTGATTCTTGTAGTTTTACTGGAAGATTTTTAAATCAAAGTTCCATTTTAAGAAAGATAGAATGGAGTGAAGCAGACAGATTAGAAGGAAACATATTTGGTTTTTTTTTTTTTTGAGACGGAGTTTCGCTCTTGTTACCCAGGCTGGAGTGCAATGGCGCGATCTCGGCTCACCGCAACCTCCGCCTCCTGGGTTCAGGCAATTCTCCTGCCTCAGCCTCCTGAGTAGCTGGGATTACAGGCCCGCGCCACCATGCCCAGCTAATTTTTTGTATTTTTAGTAGAGACGGGGTTTCACCATGTTGACTGGGATGGTCTCGACCGCTTGACCTTGTGGGCCTCCCAAAGGATTAAATCCCCTCCCTGGGATTAAAGGCGTGAGCCACCGCGCCCAGCCACATATTTGTTAAGCAGTGAGATTAGTTAAAAGGCTGTATAATCCAGGCAATAAGAGCTGAACAAGTAGCAATGGGATGGTATAGTATAAAAGGGCTAGATTTCATAGATTTGAAATACTTATTGTAGTGGAATTAAACTTAAAATCTGTTTGTCCTCATTGGTCCACAATGTAGGAGAAATGGGAGAAGAGTTGTGAATTTGAAGTGAACTATTACTATTATATACTCTAGAAACTCCACATTGTTTATCAGCTTATCAAAGATTTACCCTGTTAAAAGGATACAGCTGCCTAAGGCAGTTTTGGGATGTGAGGAATTCTGGATGAAAAAATTAAGCTTTTATAATAAAAAGTTTTACAAAGTAAACCAATTCTAGTATATACTTAAAATTGGTTATCCAATTTGAGTATTCATAACATGCTGGATTTAAGCACCACTGCCCACAAATTTTAACCTAGGTGACCTAATACTCCTCCCCAAATGTCTTCCCTATGTTAGATTTTCACATCCCACACAGAATAAGGAACGTAGATTTTCTTCATGTTATATGGCAGATACAGCAGCCTTAAGATTACTTACTAGAAATAAGAAAGAAAATTTTTAAAAAAAATTTTTTGAGATGGAGTCTCGCTGTTGCTCAGGCTAAAGTGCAGTGGTGCAATCTTGGCTCACTGCAACCTCCGTCTCCCGGGTTCAAGCAATTCTCCTGCCTCAGCCTCCCAAAAGTAACATGTTGGCCAGGCTGGTCTCAAAATCCTGACCTCAAGTGATCTGCCTGCCTCAGCCTCCTAAGCGCTGGCATTACAGACTGGAGCCACAGCACCTGGCCAAGTCCTCCTCCTCTAATTACTTACTTTGCTAAATATGCTAGCCTAGAACAGTTTAATTTGAATTTATATTCTAAAAAAATTTTTAACAAAGTAATCTTAATTCTAATATTTAACTTAGGTATTCTATGTATCCAAATGTAAAGACATCATACAGAATAATTATGCCATTATAAAGCTTAAACACAACTGGCTAAAAAATACTTTTCCCCCATTTTATACCCAAAAGAGATACTTTAGTATAAAGTGTAAGGACTTTGTTTTCCAGAAATATTAAGCAACATAAACACTGGGGACAGAACTTTATACATCAAAAGTTTTGGTTTAGAATTAAGGAGTGAATTCAGTACGTCATTATTTTGTGGTATAGCCTATTTTAAGACTATATATGCATTAAAACCTGTAATAATAACATTACCATTTTAATCAATAAAAAATGTCAGTACCTGAGCTATTTGAATGAATGTTTCCTGAGAATACTGAGGTAGAAGAACTTTAGGAGCATCTTTAAGAGCATCAACTTGGAGAAAAAGATTTAGCCAGGAGATGACTGTTACAGGACAAAGTTCCCATTTTAAAGCCTGTTAACAAAATGTTAAAATTCCTGTTAATGAATGTAAACACACACACCACATTATAGAGTTTAGTGGTTAATTCCCCATCCAACCATGACCATTGTCAATATTTTGATGCATTAACCTAGTAGAATTGGATCCTAATACAAATCTCAGTTTTGACTTTTTACATTGTATTTGAGATTTGATCATAACTTACTTAGTAACATTTTCTTTTTTGCAACTAGGAAAACATAATTATTACCTTTAATATAATGAGTTCCATCTTTAAGATATCCTCTTCACTGCAAGCACCATCAGTGACATAAGCAAACTCTTGGAGTTTAGGAGCGTAGATTTCCTTTAAATTATAATTTTTTTATTGAGCACAATTGAGATAGAAATTAAAAGAACCACAAATGTTCCTCACTTTACAATGGGATTACATCCCAATAAACCAAACAATTGTTTAAGTAGAAAGTGCATTTTTTTTTCTCTTAGAGAAATAACCAACACAAAAAAGTGCATTTTCTTTTTTTTTTTTTTTTTTGAGATGAAGTGTCTCACTCTGTTGCCAGGCTGGAGTACAGGGGCACTATCTTGGCTCACTGCAACCTCCATCTCTCAGGTTCAAGCCATTCCCCTGCCTCAGCCTCCTGAGTAGCTGGGACTACAGGCACTCACCACCATGCTTGGCTATAATTTTTTTGTATTTTAGTAGAGATGGGGTTTCACCATGTTGGCCAGGATGGTCTCCATCTCCTGACCTCACGATCTGTCTGTTCCAACCTCCCAAAGTGCTGTGATTACAGGCGTGAGCCACCACACCCAACCTTTTTTTTCTTTTTGAGGCAGTCTCACTCTGTCACTCAGGCTGGAGTGCAGTGGCACAATCCTGGCTCACTGCAACCTTTGCCTTCAAGGCACAACATTCTTGTGCCTCAGCCTACCCAGTAGCTGGGTTTACAGGCATGCACCACCACACCCAGCTACTTTTTGTATTTTCACTAGAGACAGGATTTCACCATGTAATCCAGGCTGGTCTCAACTCCTGACCACAAATGATTCACCCGCCTCAGCCTCCCACAGCACTGAGATTACAGGTGTGGGCCACTGCACCTGACCAGGAAGTGGATTTTCAACTTACAATATTTTCAACCTATGCAGACATTGCCCTGTTGTATGTCAAGGAGCATAATGAATGCAGGTTACTTTTCAACCATCATAAAGTCAAACCATGGTAAGTAGGGGACCGTCTATATATACAAATCACATATAGGCTTCAGATTTAAGGACAACCTCACTAAGTAATTGCAAATCTTAGTAAAACAATTCTACTATAATCAAAACAGTAGTAAGATATTTTCATATCTAGGTATCTAAATTAGCAACTGTTGATTATTGAAACTTCATAGAATTGACTTTGAATTTTCATTAATACAACTAGAATATCTTGTCATTACAATTTAAAACAGCCAAACTTGTTTTAAAATTGCCTAATATGTTGGTCAGATCAAAAGGAGACACCCTGCTTGGTGCAGTGCAGCAGCTCACACCTATAATCCCAGCACTTTGGGAGGCTGAGGTGGGAGGATCACCTGAGCCCAGGAGTTTTAAGAGCAACATAGAGAAACCTTGTCTCTACAAGAAAAAATAGCCAGGCATGGTAGTGCATCCCTGTAGTCTCAGCTATTCCAGAGGCTGAGGTGGGAGGATTGCTGTAGCTGGGGAGATTGTGGTGACCTGTGATAGTGTCACTGCAACCAGCCTGGGTGACAGAGCAAGACCCTGTCTCAAAAAACAAAAATCAAAAGACACCCAACAAATAAGATCTAGAAACTAAAAATATTTCCTTTACCCTAGTACAAAAATATGATAATCAAAATATACTTCATACAGCTTGGCTGACGGGTCTGTTTTAGCACTCCAGAGAAGAAGTAGAATCATCAAAGGATTAGAAGACGTGTCTCCCACATAGAACAGGCTAAAAGACCAGGATTTCAGTCTAGAAAGATGTCTAAAAAAGTGTAATTTCAAGTAAGGATAGACTGAATACAAATTTATGTGCCAAATTCGGCAGATGTGGGGATGGCTCTTAAAGCTCAAAAGACATCTTTTTTTTTTTTTTTTTGAGATGGAGTTTCGCTCTTGTTACCCAGGCTGGAGTGCAATGGCGCGATGTCGGCTCACCGCAACCTCCGCCTCCTGGGCTCAAGCAATTCTCCTGCCTCAGCCTCCCGAGCTGGGATTACAGGCACGCGCCACCATGCCCAACTAATGTTTTGTATTTTTAGTAAAGACGGGCTTTCACCATATTGACCAGGATGGTCTCGATCTCTTGACCTCGTGATCCACCCGCCTGGGCCTCTCAAAGTGCAGGGATTACAGGTGTGAGCCACCATGCCCGGCCTCAAAAGACATTTTTTAAAAAATACACTTAAAAAATTAATATATGATCACAGTCCCTAACTCTCAAAATGATACCATCTATGAAAGTTTTAGATGAAAGTATTAATGATATCCATCATGTATTAAAGTAAATTGAGCTTACGCAAAGGAAAAAAGAAAGGAGTTGCCTTCTATCATGGCAGCACTGCTGGATATAAAAATATTGGGCTGGATAAACCATTATTCTAATCCAACACAGTATTCATTTCATTTTATTAGCTGTTTAGTTTTCAAAGGTCATTCTACTGAATACAAATGCTATAATTATGTATATAAATAGAGCATCAATATATTTCATTTGGCAGAATGAGCCATGGGACATTTCACCTATATACTAATCCCAGAATTTAAACCAGAGACTTGTAATAAGGCTCAGACATTACAGAGGGAACTATGATAATTTATCATTCATCCCTGTGATAATGTTCAGAAAATGTACAGGTATTGATCGACTTAACCTATGCAACTTACGACCATTCGACTTTACGACCACAATCGCTAGCCACGACTGCTCCACGTCTGGCAGCGCAAATGTTGCCCAGCTGGGCGCCCGACAGTGCGGACCAGCTTCTGGCAGCACTACCATCTCCACGTGCACCATTTCAACTGTACATATAGCCTACTCAACTTACGACCAAATCGTGTTACGACCGTTCCGCGGTCCTGACCGTGGTCGTAAATCGAGCACTGCCTGTACTGAGAAACAAAAACATTCACTTTCCTAAGGAGTTAATATAAAACATGGTATTCTCTGGGATTAGTATGTTGATTTAAAAAAAAAAAGTTTGGGATAAATATATCTGAGGATAAACTTTGAGAACTTACCTCAAGTTTGGAAGCAATGAATAATGAGGTAATTCCAATGAGTTGAAGCATATTTTTATTTATATCCTTTTGTGTCAACATAAATCTATCAAAAAAGTCTTGTGCAAGATAAAATGTTTCCCTATGCAGTGTGTATACTTCACATACCTAGAGAAGAATCCAAACATTTAAATATCCTCTGAATTTCTCCAAATTAGAAAGTCATTTCTTAGCATTTCAGACTTTACATTTAAGCCAAACTGACAGCAAAGCTAAGACAGGAAAGGAAAAAAGAAACTAACATGAACTATTAGGATAAACAAATCTATTACCACATTTACTAGTTTTATAGTTTTTTTTTAAACATCATTTATTTTTCATATTTTACTGCACTGGTTAAGAATTATCGAAAGATACTGAACGGTTAACGTTGGTGATAAAATCTTAATCCCTTGTTTCTGACTTTAATGGGAATTGCCCTGATGCTTTACTACTGTTACTGTTGTTATTAATAATAATAAATAGTATCTGTCATTTCCACACTTATAGGGAAAGCTTTTAATTCTCACAATAACTCTGTAAGTAGGTACCATTATCAACATTTTGGAGGTGAGGAAATAGAAATACATACCAGAGTTCTTTTTTTTTTGGAGACAGGGTCTCAACTTTGTCACCCAGGCTGGAGTATGCAGTAGTGGCACTGCAAACTCCTGAGTTCAGGCAATTCTCCTGCCTTAGCCTCCTGAGAAGCTGAGATTACCAGTGTGTGTCACCATGTCAGACTACTTTTTTGTGTTTTTAGTAGAGATGGGATTTTGCCATGTTGGCCAGCCTGGTCTTGAACTCCTAGCCCTCCTTGGCCTCCGAAAATGCTGGCATTACAGTTATGAGCCACCACACCCGGCCACATGAGTTTCTAATAATGGATTAAAAAAAAAAAAATCTCTGCTGGCTGAGTGCAGTGGCTCACACCTGTAATCCCAGCACTTTGGAAGGTCACAGTGAACAGATCACTTGAGGTCAGGAGTTCAAGACCAGCCCAGCCAATATGGTGAAACCCCATCTCTATTAAAAATACAAAATTTAGTCATGCATGGTGGCCCGTGCCTGTAATCCCAACTACTCAGGAGGCTGAGGCAGAAGAGTCACTTGAACCTGGCAGGCAGAGGTTGCAGTGAGCCAAAATCATGCCGTTGTACTCCAGCCTGGGTGACAAAATTGAAGCTCTGTCTCAAAAAAAAAGAATGTTGAATTTCAAAAAAATGTCTTTCACATCTGTTGAGATCTCAGCATTTTTCTCATTTATTGTTAAGGTAATAAATTAATAGATTTTCAAATGTTGAATCAAGTTTGCATTCCTAGACTAAAGAATAAACTAAGACAAAGTAGAGTTCAACATTGCTGGATTTGATATATTCTGTAGGCTGTTGCATATGTAATCATATTTAGGCAAAAACAGGAATAAATTGAATAGGGTAGCCACTGGATAAATATCAGTATAACAAAAAGGAAAAAATTAAAAATTAACGTAATTGTGCTTAAGTTGATTCCATGATCACTAGACACTCAGAAAAAGTCAAAACCCAATGCCTTCTTGTGCCCATGATTAAAATCCAATTTTTCCTTCTAGTCAGAATAAGGAAAAAAAAATGACCTGAGATGCAAAAGGACATTTTATAGTCTTAAAAACTTTCCTAATAGCTTCTGAGAGCTATTCCTGCCATGTGCTACTCCTCCAAAAAGTCTATGGTCTTTTTTTCCTGAGAAGGCTTCATCTCTGTCTTAAAGACAGACTACAGAGCAAATATCCAAGAGTTGGAGAGAAAATCAGTTTGTCATCAACATAAGTAATCATTTCCTCAATAATAATTTGAGACTTTATTTTACAGTTATTATCCAGAGAAAGGGAATAAACCTAAACAAGAGAAAGAATTCTGGCACAAATCTATAGAGACTTCAGGATCACCATTCCTTTAAATTAGTGGTATAGTATATTTCTGAAAAGAACAGAAGAACATAATAAAGAGAAGGAACTGGAAGCATAGAGAGCTCAGGGCTTCCAGATATCCATAGTCTCATTATGGTTTAGAATACAGAAACCAGGATTCCTCATCATCGTTTGATTTTGGTAATGCAGAAAAAGACTTCAGAGGGCCCAGAAGCCTAGATCTAGTTCACTCTGTATAGCAGAATTCAAAACCTAATTAACTATACATTCTATTCACCTTGAGTATCTGTGGCTTCTAGAACAGCAGCTGGTACATAGCAGTATCCACAGATAACAGGAATTCTGAATTGGGTTTCGTTATATGTAGTAGCTTTGTTACGATTTTACTCTTATAGAGTTACTTTCCACTTTGGGTACCATCAACTACAATAAGTACCTCAAAAAAGCTTCCTGGGGATGGACAATAAACTCAGAGTACATGGAAAGCACATTTACAGCTAAATATTTTTCCATCATATAGGGAAAGGAAATTTGTATTGCTGGAACATACCTCTAAAAGCCAGTCTAGAAGTACAGACCTCATCTGTGGTTCCAAGTCAGAATGCAGAACTTCAAAATGTTTGTCATGAACATATCTGCTCTCCTTTTTTAACATGTTTAGCCAGACTTCCTTTGAACATCCCCAGCTATGGAAAGAGAGAAAAACAAAACATACATATATATATAATATATTTGAGAAAGTCTTGCTTTGTTGCCCAGGCTAGAGTACAGTGGCACAATCTTGGCTCACTATAATATCCATCTCCTGGGTTCAAGTGATTCTTGTGCCTCAACCTCCCAAGTAGCTGGGGGTTACAGGTGCTGGCCACGAAGCCTGGCTAATTTTTGTATTTTTAGTAGAGATGGGGTTTCACCATGTTGGCTGAACTGGTCTCAAACTCCTGACCTCAAGTGATCTGCCTGGTTCACTCTCAAAGTGCTGGGATTATAAGTGTGACCCACCATGACACGCCAAAAACTGTAATTTAAATTGTGCAATCCATGTAATATACAAGCTGTTTCACAGAGAGAAAATTCAACTTTCAGACAGTGAAATCCAATTTTTAATTAGAGCTTAGAAGAAACTCTTAAATAAGAAAAAAAACTCCTACCTCAATTTTTGGAAACCATTTCCTTTGTGTGAATAAACAGAAGGCTGAAATAACACACTGAGAACCTGCACTACGATCATCTAAACCTGCAGATTTCAAGAGAGTGCTTTCTTGTCTCACTTATTTATACTTTATAAAGGTTGCTGTTAAAAGATAACCATGTTGCTCTTCCCCTAAGTGGTCTGAGGTAATCTGTGAAAATAGTTGGCTATTCACTTGACCTGGAAAACCCCACAAAATCATGCAAATCAAGAGGTTCAAATCTTTGTGTTCACTGTAGGAACATTTATGAAACTGCCCAGGCCATCAAGGATATGCATATACAAAAAACCACGAAATGGCTGGGCATGGTGACTCACGCCTGTAATCCCTGCACTTTGGGAGGCTGAGGCAGGTGGATCACTGTGGTCAGGAGTTCGAGACCAGCCTGACCATATGGTGAAACCCCATTTCTACTAAAAATAAAACAAAAAATTAGCTGGGCGTGGTGGCGCACACCTGTAATCCCAGCTACTCAGGCAGCTGAGGCAGGAGGACTGCTTGAACCTGGGAGGTGGAGGTTGCAGTGAGCTGAGACTGGGCCACTGTACTCCAGCCTGGGCAAAAGAGGAAGACTCCATCTCAAAAAGAAAAAAAAAATGCAGAGAGTAATGCTGAACTTAAGGGTTTAGATGTAGATTCTCTGGTCATTGAGCATCTCGAAGTGAACAAAGCACCTAGGATGTGCTGACAGACCTACAGAGCTCATGGTTGTATTAACTCATACATGATCTCTCCCTGCCACATCGAGATATCTTTGGTGAAAAGGAACAAATTGTTCCTAAACCAGAAGAGGTTGCCCAGAAGAAAAAGATATCCCAGAAAAAACTAAATAAACAAAAACTTATGGCACAGGAGTAAATTTAGCATTAAAATAAATGCAATTAAAAGTCAAAAAAAGCCGGGCGCAGTGGCTCAAGCCTGTAATCCCAGCACTTTGGGAGGCCGAGGCGGGTGGATCACGAGGTCAAGAGATCGAGACCATCCTGGTCAACATGGTGAAACCCCATCTCTACTAAAAATACTAAAAATTAGCTGGGCATGGTGGCATGTGCCTGTAATCCCAGCTACTCAGAAGGCTGAGGCAGGAGAATCGCCCGAAACCAGGAGGCGGAGGTTGCGGTGAGCCAAGATCGCGCCATTGCACTCCAGCCTGGGCAACAAGAGCGAAACTCTGTCTCCAAAAAAAAAAAAAAAAAAAAAAAAAGCCGGGCGTGGTGGCTCAAGCCTGTAATCCCAGCACTTTGGGAGGCCGAGGCGGGTGGATCACGAGGTCGAGAGATTGAGACCATCCTGGTCAACATGGTGAAACCCCATCTCTACTAAAAATACAAAAAATCAGCTGGGCATGGTGGCTCGTGCCTGTAATCCCAGCTACTCAGGAGGCTGAGGCAGGAGAATTGCCTGAACCCAGGAGGCGGAGGTTGCAGTGAGCCGAGATCGCGCCATTGCACTCCAGCCTGGGTAACAAGAGCGAAACTCTGTCTCAAAAAAAAAAAAAGTTGAAAAAAAAAAAAAAAAGGTGCACACCTGTAATCTCAGCACTTTGGGAGGCCAAGGCGGGCCGATCACGAGGAAGAGATAGCGACCATCCCAAGAAACAAGAGGTGTTTGGCTAGCAAAAAGAAAAAAAAAAAAGAGAGACCATCCTGGCCAAAATGGTGAAACCCTGTCTCTACTAAATACACAAAAATTAGCTGGTCATGGTGGCACACACCTGTAGTCCCAGCTACTTGGGAGGCAGAGGTTGCAGTGAGCTGAGATTACGCCACTGCACTCCAGCCTGGCGACAGAGCAAGACTCTGTCTCAAAAAAAAAAAAAAGTTTTCTCAAGAGTAATAGGAAAAAAATATTTAAAGCATGTGATCACAGCCAAGAGAAGTCTCAATCACCTCTATAGCAGGGTCACCTGTGGGGTGGGTAAGGCAGGACAGAGTGCAGAGAAAGGGAGATTGGTGAGTTTAAATGTCTGATTCCGGCCGGGCGCGGTGGCTCAAGCCTGTAATCCCAGCACTTTGGGAGGCCGAGGTGGGTGGATCACAAGGTCAAGAGATCGAGACCATCCTGGTCAACATGGTGAAACCCCGCCTCTACTAAAAATACAAAAAAAAATTAGCTGGGCATGGTGGCGCGTGCCTGTGATCCCAGCTACTCAGGAGGCTGAGACAGGAGAATTGCCTGAACCCAGGAGGCGGAGGTTGCGGTGAGCCGAGATCGCGCCATTGCACTCCAGCCTGGGTAACAAGAGCGAAACCCCGTCTCAAAAAAAAAAAAAAAAAAAGTCTGATTCCATTAACTTGCTTATTAAGGCCAATCATAATACACTACATGTTTTGTATAAGCTGTACCTCTTAGTTATACTCATGAACTAGAAAAAAAAAGCATAGACCTTACTAAGAAATAAATAGGGTTCATAGATTAATTGAAAAAGCTTCCTTTGAGTTGAAACTGCAAGGAACAAGAATAAAAATTTTAAAGGAAAAGCTGAACATGTAAAAATGCTTCTAATCTTAACAAAAAAATTCAATCCCATTAAGTCTTTACAGTACTCAGCAAGCAAATGAAAATAACTTTATAGAATCGGTGTTTTAAATACCCCTATCATTTGTAAACAGCCCTACTATCAGATAAAATGATACATGCTTACATATTAGTAAACAATTTTTACAACTTTTTCTATTTTATAATGACAGCAAAAGACAAAATAATGCCATATATTAAATCAGCACAATTTTGTATCTTTGAAATAAAATTACTGAAATTTTTCTTACCTTAAATCAGGCAAAGGTGAAGGATTAATAAAAAGATTTTTAAATCTGTAATTTGTAAATCTGGAGAAATCACTTGTTCCTATTTCTTTGTGAGGTGTTTCAATGATAATGCAAGGACTGATCCCCCCAGATAATACAGGTGGCCAACAATTCTGTCAAAAAGAAAAGAAAAATATCAATTTGTGCAAGGGAAACCTTAGTTTTTGTCATAGATCTTTCATAAATGAAAGTTAATACATCTAAAGAATCTGTAATTTTAGCTAACATAGATGGCAACATAGTTAATTTGACATTCATATTTTATAAACAACCCATATAGCTCATGTTAATTTTTATAAAGAGTAACAGGATGTTTTAGACAACAAAATGCAATTCTGGTAATAGAAGACGCTAGCTAGGTGTTGAAGGAAGATAGTAATAAAATACATCTGTGGCCTAAAATACTAATCACCTTCAACATCATAGAATTGCATTTCTCTGTATCTTGCAATAGTAGCAGGGACTTTTTAAAATAAAAAGCTTTTTTAAAAAAAGTCTGCTCTGATACTTTTTAATATTTGAAGGCAAAACCTTAAAACTGGAATCAAGTGGAACCAATTACTTAAAGGATCTTTTTCCCAATAATGCTGGTTTCAAAGGGAATCACTATCTCCAAAGTGCTTTCCGTACAAAAACACATAGGAAGAAGAGATACCAAAGGGCTGCATGCCAGGCTGTCAGTGATCTCACATCCTATTTATGCCCAAGGAGCAGCTATTAGGACCGTCTACTAGAGTCTGCGAGGGAACAAAGAGCAGTATATTGGATAGATTAGGCGGGCCCGGGTGCACCAGGCAGCTCCAAGAGGGAGGGATTTACAAAAAGGAACCAGCTGCTTGAAGGCACTTACTCTGCAGCTGTAGTAGGATTCGGGCACATACAAACCCCCCCAAAGATAAGCGCTTTCCTGCTGACCTCTAGGGGCATTGAAAGTGTCAGAGAAATCTATTGAAAAGCAATAAACACATAATTCTATTCTTATTCGTCTATCCTCCATTTCCTCCCCAAAACCACCCAGCCCAATTCTGCATTACCCTAATTTCATACTGATGTTTCTTGGTGACCTCCTCTCTTCTTTTTTTGACATCCTGGAAAACAGAAAAGATCATTTGTAAACTAAAGTCCCAACGTGAAATTTCGTTCCTCCCTCTTTCTCCTTAAATCACCTGGGTTGTCTTCCTCTTCTTGGCCTGGATTATTTGGGCGTCTTGGGGGGATTCCGTCTGGCTGGGCTGGGGCTGCTGCTTAGCCTGTATACGGCTACTGTGATGAATTTTTAAAAAGGAAGTGTAATTAATAAGTCAAAGGCAGCAACTAATTTGAAACATGTCTCTAAGACAGAAAATGTTACCTTCGTCTTGACATTCTCTTCTTTCAGGTGTATAAAACCTCTGAAGGGGGAAGAGGAAAAGCCGCAGTCAAGTACATTGTCATTCACATTCTCCAAGTGCCAGTAAGACGCTGATTCGGGGGTTTTAGCTCCGTCCCTCGGAAGAGGGCCTGGGCCGAGTGACCCTGCCGTCTTCTGTGCTGTTAGCTAGCTCCTGGTAATTCATTTTGGATACACGCCTGCATCTCCTCAACTGAAAATTTACCAAAAATCTACCAAGCACTCCCGGCACCTGGAACGCGCAGGGAAGCACCTCTTCCCCAAACGGGTTTTTCTGGGTCTTCCACCCTCTCCCCCGTACACCGAGATTGGGGCTTGGGCAGCGCCCCCACGTCCCGCCTCCCGTCCTGGACGAGCGCGGAGAGGGGGTTGTGGAGGCGAAGGGCTGTGGAGAAGCCGGTTCCGCGCCAATTCGGAGAGCGGCGGTGGCGGGCAAGCAGGGGGCGGAGGAACTGACTGGTGTCACGGCCTCCAGTCTCCTTTCCCTCCTTCCCGGTCCCGACCCCCTACCGCCGCTCAGAGGGGCGCCGGGACCCCAACTCCTGACGGGAGGCGGGAGGCAGGGAAAGGAGCTAAAGAAAGGGGAGACTGGCCTGGCCGGGAACTTTCCTCCCCATGGAGGGGACCCGGCCTCCCTTCCTCTCTCCCCCGAGATAGGTCCCCGAATGAGGGTGGTATAGAGCAGTCCCCAGAATGAGGGGCGGCTCTTCAAGCCCCGCCGCTTCCCGGTCCCCTGCCAAGGGTCCTGACAGGGACGGAACGCGCGGACTCATGACCCCCAGTCGCCTAGCTTTCAGCCCTCCCGTATTTCCAACCCTGAGGCTCCCGCCTGCGGTGAGGGACCGGCCCAGCTGGGCTTTCTTTCCTCCCGCATCCCCCTTACGCGCAGCAGCTCCTCACCGCCAAACCCGCTACAGCTCAGCTCAGCTGGCGCCGGCGCCAACCCAATATATAGGCCGGGCCGGGCCCGCCCCGCACGCATGCGCCTCAGACTGACACCTCCGGACAGCGCGCTCCCAGCTCCCGCCCGCCGGTCCGTCCGCGCGCCCGCGCGTCGCGCCCTGTCCTCACTAAGCACCCGCCACCCGGAGCGGCCGTGGGGTGGACTCTCCCAGGCTTTCGGTCCCCGTTCACCACGCCCCACGGTGCGGCCGGCGGCGGCTGGGAGACTCCTCAGAGGCTCCTTTTCCGCTGCTGGCCTCCCCGCCGCCCAGCTCCCGCGTCTCCCGCCAGTTTGCTCTTGCCCTATCCCACTGCAAATCCTGGATTTCGGGGCTGTCAGGCTGCGGCTCTGTCCGGGCGCATGACAGGGGACGCGACTCAGGTGAGCATAGGGTGGCTGGGGCGCACCCTGGCAGTCCCGCCAAGGCCTGAGAGTACCCGGGTCTTTCCTGAGCTACGCGGGGACCTCGGGCCCGCCCCTGGGGGAGGAGCGAAGCGTTGACTGACGAGCTGGCCAATGGGAGGCGCGGGCGGCAGTACAACGTGGAGCGGCTGCAGAATGTAAACACCGCTCCGCCGCGCGCCGGGACACGTGCGTCTCTGAGAGCTCGGGTCCCGGCCCCGCGACCACCCGCAGCCCGCTCCGCCAGTCCTGCGCTGCACGCCCAGGGAAGGCATCTCCAGTCCGCCCACCCAGGTACGTATCAACCCTGCTTTCCAGCTCCCCCGACCGGGTTTCCCTCCCCATGGACGGGTCGCTCCCCTAGCCCGCTGCCCTGCCCCTGCAATGGCCTCTAGCTGCCACCCCGCAGTCCCCGCTCTGGAAACGCTCGCGCCACGCCGCGCCCTCCCTTGCTCCTTCCCTTCCCCACCTCCAATTCCGGGGTCTCCGAGGGTAAAATCCCTCTCCCTAGCGGGGCCCGGGAACGGCATTCCCCCTCCCCGTCAGCACGGTGGTCCCACGGGATCTGGCCGGGTGGGAAGAACGGTCGCCACCACGTGCCTGCCCGGGCCTGCCTGCCGCGCCCCGCCCCGCCGCTGCAGCCAGCGCGCCTTGCGGAGCCCGCGCGAGCCGCCAGCGCGGGAGGGCGCCGAGCGCTATTGGGAAGAGGCGGGCCTGACGCTCTTCCTTTTCCTTCCCCCGATGTTTAAGCTGTTTAAGCTTAGGGGTCCCTTCGCTGCCTCTGAACGCCGCACCCCCTCCCCCGGCCCAACCAGCACACCCCAATACTGCCCATCGTCAAGTGAGACTTTAGGCTGGTACTCCGCAAACAAGTTTTGGGGCGGGAGCAGCGGGGCGGGGAACAGCTCCGGGAACAAAGACCCCCCGGGTGCAGGAGCCACGCGAATGTCTCTCGGAACCCGCGGCTGCTCGTGCGGGCCGTGTCTGCCCCGGCACTGGGCGAGCAGGCAGGCGGGTAAGCGGGCCGCGCGCGCGGGAGCCTTTCCCGAGATGCACCGGGAGGCGGCGCCAGGCGCACCCGGCTCCCGCCAGGCTTTTGTGCTGCGCGGCTCGAGCGCGCCTGAGGCCCGGGAAAAAGCGGCCGCGGATGGGCGCTTCGGGGAGGGCGAAGTCCTTTTCCACACTTTTTCCATTGCTCGTCTTGAAACGCCGGCAAAGTAACTGTTTCTCTCCCTAATTTACCTGTAAGAGCCTTGCCCAAGGTGACAGCATCAGGAGAAGCCCATGCCTTGTCAGTCCCAAGAAACTTCCTGCCATTTCTAACGCTTAGGATGGCTCTCGCGGAGCAGAAGTTGCCTCCCTTTTGTTACCGGTGTAGCTGAAAGGTATAACAGCATGATGGCAAGAAGAGGGATCGGGGGTCGCCCAACAAGCGTCACCTGATCTGAAGCAGAACTGGTGGCCCTCGCGGTTGAATTTGATAAAATATTACTGAAAACCAAGATGTCGAGTAGCGTGTGTGGGATTCATCTTTGAATGATGAATGTATACTCAGTCCTAACTAGTAAATTAATTTTAAAAGACACTGCTCTTACAAATGTCCTTTGCCATCCCTTGACTGTGACGGGAACAGAATGCAATCATAGAAAAGGAGAAATTAGAAAATTCCGACATCGTTGTGTAGAAAGGAATAGGGTGAATTCTCCGGTATTACAGGTACCTGGTCAGCAGACAAGTGGGTCTCTTAAAAAAAAAAAAAGTTGGAGGGGCAAGCATGTTTGCTTTTAGCTTGCTCTTTTCCTACTCATCCAGTTTAAAAATTCACCTATTTTTTCCCTATTGTACATGTAAAGTTAAAACATCACGGCAAATAAACTATTGGCCTCTATAATGCTGCTTTGGGGTAACTATTCTGATTGCTCTGACATTCATTTTCAGGAGGAAAAAACCCTAGAAGATTCTTGGAGGCATATGCTTTAAAAAACAAAACAAAACAAAAATTCAGGCTTAGCCTGCCCATTTCTTTATTCTGTGCCTTTTCTTTGATGTATCTCCTCTGTTAAAGCTTCCCAGATCCTTTTCTCTGTGCTGCAGTTATGTTCATCTTACAGGTCAAAAATTAAGTTATTTAGATGTCTTTTATTTCGAACTAAGCCTCAGAAATTGTTTTGTTCTTTTTATAGCCAGTATTCAGCAGTTCAAAGGCATATAGAGTAAAACTTGGGTAAATGCTGATTTGAATTATGTGTAGGATATGCCATTATAGAACTTTGTCTCTAGGTTACAATGATGGATGATTGATCGATGGTGGAATTATTCCCAATAAGTACCGGGCTTTTAAAAACATTAATATACTTTTTTTTTAAGAACAGTTTTAGATTCAAAGAAAAAATGAACAGGTAGAACAGGACTTCCATATTCCCACTCCCCCTTCCCACCTGCCACACATGCAGTTTGCCTTGTTATTGACATCATATAGTATGGCACATTTATTACCCTGTGATATGTTTACAATTAATAAATCAATGTCGATGTGTTATTATTAACTAAAGTCCATACTTTATTCCTGTGTCTTTAGTTTTTACCCAATACCTCCTTACTGATCTAGGATCTCATCCAGGATACCCATCACATTTAAATGTCATGTCTTAGGTTCCTCTTGGCCATGGCAGTTTCTCAGACTTTTCTTGTTTTGATGACCTTCACAGTTTTGAGGAGTGCTGGTCAAGTATTTTGTAGGCTAACCATGAGAAAAACATCAGATGAATTCTAGTAGAGGAGTTGACTGGGGTATGGAATTGGGGAGGAAGATCATAGCGGTAAAGTACCATTTTCATCCCATCATATTAAGAGCTCATACTAGCCAGGCACAGTGGTTCACACTTAAATCCCAGCACTTTGGGAGGCTGAGGTGGGTGGATCACGAGGTCAGGAGTTAAAGACCAGCTTGGCCAACACAGTGAAACCCTGTTTCTACTAAATACATAAAAATTAGCTGGGTATGGTGGCATATGCCTGTAGTCCCATCTACTCGTGAGGCTGAAGCAGGAGAATCGTTTGAACCTGGGAGGCGGAGGTTGCAGTGAGCCAAGACTGTGCCACTGCACTCCAGCCTGGGTGACAGAGTGAAACTGTCTCAAAAAAAGAAAAAGTTCATACTGACATAATGATTTATTACTGTTGGTGTTGATCTTGATCACCTGGCTGAGGTAATGTTTGTCAGGTTTCTCCACTGTAAAATTGCTTTTTTTCCTCCCTTTCCATACTGTGCTCTTTGCAAGGAAGTCACTGTGTGCAGCCCACACCTAAGGAGTGAGGAGTGATCTTTTTTAGGATGAATTATCTGTATTATTTTAATTTCTTCTGCATTGGAGATTTGTCTCTTCTTCATTCATTAACTTAGTCATTTATTCCTATCAGTGTGTACTTATGGATACTCATTTTATAATTTGAATTATAACTCAATACTTTTTATCTTGTTGTTCAAATTGTTCAAAACTTTCACCAAGGTATTTTTCATACATTTTTATTATCATGAGACTCATTTGAAGCTAAGCAAAAATGGTCTTAATGATAATCAGTATTTCTCACATAACGAGAAAGGAATAAAAAATTTTCTTCCCATTCAATGAAATTTGCTTATCCTTCATGCTTATCTAAAACATATACAAAATAAAACAAATCTTTGTATTTTAGTAGAGATGAGTTTCACCATGTTGGTCAGGCTGGTCTCAAACTCCTGACCTCAAATCATCCTTCTGCTTTGGCCTCCCAAAGTGAATGAGCCACTGCACCTGGCCAATTTTTATAATTAGAATCAGGTGAGATGCAGTTTTAAAAACTATTTTAAATACATTTTTACTATAACATAGTTTAGACTTCACATTCTATGTGGAAGGGTCATTGGGACCTCTTGATGTCCACAGAACACACTTTGGGAACTGCACTGCATACATACATAGTTAACCAAACCAGAATCCTGGGAGTGAACTTAGTCATTCCTTTCTTCTTTTTTTCTCAGCTCCATAATCATAGTTAACATTTCCTGGGTAAGATGATATATTAGGCTGTACCCTAAGCCTTTACATACTATTAACTCCTTTAGTCCTCCACCAACACTATGAGACAGGTGCAAATGACTGTCATTCCTGGTTTATAAATGAGGAAGCTGAGACACAAGTGTAGCTTGCCCAGGATCCACAGTAGAGTCTGACTCCAGCTCCCGTGGTGCTGTGCTGCCTCCATTTATCACCAAAGTCATTTCTCTTCAGTTTCCAAGTCATTTCCATATTATGCTTTTATTTCCCTCTGCCTCAGTTCAGGACACCATTCTGTCTTCAGTGCAATACTCTTCTGTTTTTCCTGGCATGCATTACCCCTTGCAGTCTGCCTTCCAACCTGTTGCCAAACTGCCCTTCCAGAGTACAGATGCCACCCATACTACCCCTGAAGACCTTTCTATGCCTCGCCTTGGATTAACAGTCAAACCCCAAAACTTAAATACACAAGGCCTCTTGCGCCCAGGAGATCCACCCACATCGTTTCCCACACCTACTGCACTTCTCACCTTGGGACCTTTGCACCTGCACCTCATTCTCCCCATCGCCATTGCCTTTCCCCAGCTAGTTCCCATTTATTCATTAATACTCAAACACCGCCTTTTCTAGAAAGTTTTCTTGCGCTTTACTGAAGTAGGACTTTCATTTTTACCCCCTCTTCTCTAACTTATGCTTGCCTCTGCCAGGCTATAGGGAGCCTCTGGGGGCAGGGGCTGTCTCTTTCAGGACTGGCCTGGGGCTTGGTAGACACCAGCCC